CCCTAACCCTAATTCCTAATACTTAAGCCTAACCCAAATGCTTAACAGTAACCCTAACCCTAATTCCTAATACTTAAGCCTAACCCAAATGCTTAACAGTAACCCTAACCCTAATTCCTAATACTTAAGCCTAACCCAAATGCTTAACAGTAACCCTAACCCTAATTCCTAATACTTAAGCCTAACCCAAATGCTTAACAGTAACCCTAACCCTAATTCCTAATACTTAAGCCTAACCCAAATGCTTAACAGTAACCCTAACCCTAATTCCTAATACTTAAGCCTAACCCAAATGCTTAACAGTAACCCTAACCCTAATTCCTAATACTTAAGCCTAACCCAAATGCTTAACAGTAACCCTAACCCTAATTCCTAATACTTAAGCCTAACCCAAATGCTTAACAGTAACCCTAACCCTAATTCCTAATACTTAAGCCTAACCCAAATGCTTAACAGTAACCCTAACCCTAATTCCTAATACTTAAGCCTAACCCAAATGCTTAACAGTAACCCTAACCCTAATTCCTAATACTTAAGCCTAACCCAAATGCTTAACAGTAACCCTAACCCTAATTCCTAATACTTAAGCCTAACCCAAATGCTTAACAGTAACCCTAACCCTAATTCCTAATACTTAAGCCTAACCCAAATGCTTAACAGTAACCCTAACCCTAATTCCTAATACTTAAGCCTAACCCAAATGCTTAACAGTAACCCTAACCCTAATTCCTAATACTTAAGCCTAACCCAAATGCTTAACAGTAACCCTAACCCTAATTCCTAATACTTAAGCCTAACCCAAATGCTTAACAGTAACCCTAACCCTAATTCCTAATACTTAAGCCTAACCCAAATGCTTAACAGTAACCCTAACCCTAATTCCTAATACTTAAGCCTAACCCAAATGCTTAACAGTAACCCTAACCCTAATTCCTAATACTTAAGCCTAACCCAAATGCTTAACAGTAACCCTAACCCTAATTCCTAATACTTAAGCCTAACCCAAATGCTTAACAGTAACCCTAACCCTAATTCCTAATACTTAAGCCTAACCCAAATGCTTAACAGTAACCCTAACCCTAATTCCTAATACTTAAGCCTAACCCAAATGCTTAACAGTAACCCTAACCCTAATTCCTAATACTTAAGCCTAACCCAAATGCTTAACAGTAACCCTAACCCTAATTCCTAATACTTAAGCCTAACCCAAATGCTTAACAGTAACCCTAACCCTAATTCCTAATACTTAAGCCTAACCCAAATGCTTAACAGTAACCCTAACCCTAATTCCTAATTCTTAAGCCTAACCCTAACCTAATTCCTAACCTTAATCCTTAATACTAACCCTAATGCTTAACCCTAACCCTAATTTCTAACCCTAACCCTAAACTTAACCCTAATTCTTAAACCTAACCTTAACCCAAATTCTTAACCCTAATTCCTAACCCCAATTCTTAACCCTAACCCTAACCCTTATTCTTACGGCTAACCTAATTCCTAACCCTAACCTTAACCATAATTCTTAACCCTAACCCTAATTCCTAACCCTAACCTTAACCCTAATTCTTAACCCTAATTCTAACCCTTATTCTTACCCCTAACCTTAATTCCTAACCCTAACCTTAACCATAATTCTTAACCCTAAGCCTAATTCCTAACCCTAACCACTTTCCCTCCCTAACACTAACCCTAACCCTAACTGTAACCCGCTCTTCATCCCCCTGTGCGCATACTCTCTCTCTTTGGAGCCCCCGTACCCCGCTTTCCTCTCTCATCTCTCAAGGAGCTTGTATCTCGGTCTCACCTGTGGGCTCTCGCCGCCCCCTCCCCCCCTTAGGCTCCACTTGCTGTCACTTGCTCCCAAGCAGCTAAAGTTTTCCTCATCTTAGACTCCATTCTATTCACCTCTGGACTATGGTGGTGTAAAGGAACAGCATCTAGGAATTCCAGGCAGGACCCTCCGGCAGTTCCAGGGAGGGATGTGTATTTCTCTGGAAAGACCAAACATGTCTCATAGCCTTGGAATGCCAATGCCTGCAGCTCTGAGCTCCTGTGGAATTGGAGCAGTGACCAGGAAG